TCCCTTATTTAACATAATTGTTTCCCTTGTTTGTATTGTAGAGCCACAAGGGAGCAGAAAAGTTTAGGGATAGATCTTTTCCTTTTTATGAGGACTTGTGCATTATATTTGGAAAGGACCGGGCAACTGGTAGAGAGGCACATGGCCCAGTTGATGTGGTGGAGGAGTTAGAGAGTAAAGAAGGAAACATTGAGCATGATATATTCTTACATGGATCAGATGACATGAATACATCCATGTCATCTATGTGACGACCATATGTGCCTGAAGAGGTTGGGAGCACGAGATTGAAGAAAAAAAGTAGGGGTATGGATGAGATGGGAGTTGAAGGGTTGATGAGTGCTGCTTCTCTGATTAGCACAGAGATTAAGGAGGCAACAATTATTTTTGCTCGTGCAATTGGTGTTGATGTCGTAGTACATGATATGAAGAAGAAGATTTACGAAGACTTGTTGTTGCTACCAGACTTTTCCATGAGTGAGAGCCTCGAATGTCTTAGTTTATGATTCTGATTATATGGACTTATTTTTAAGTCTTTCTGAGGTTGAGATGGCAGAATTAGTTAGAGGGAGATTGAGGGGAGATTTTTGAGAGATATATAAGATGATGCATGGTAAATGAAACATATTTTTTGGTTTTTTTTTTTTTTAGTCTATGAAACACTTGTGTTACTCTTATCTGTTAAGCTTAAGTTTAATTATGTTTTTCATGAAAAATGTTATTTGGTTAATGATTACATTTTATTGTAATTGTCAAATTTTGAAAATTAGATGTATATGTATAAGATTGTCCACATTAAAAAATTATGGTAAAAGGAATAGACACGCATTTTGTAGGTTGATCATAGCCATTATGTGTTGAATGAGTACCATTTATGAAAGATTATTTAGGATATGGATGAGCGTATCACATTTCTATTTTTATTTTATTTGTTGTTTATTATTGATTTTTATTATTTTTTAGTGAATTTTTTTATTATGTGATTCTTTATGACTATATTTACTAAATATTTAATCTAATTTGTCAAATTTTAAAATTAATAGAAAAATTCATTATAATGAAGTATGCAATAAGTTGGAAATTTTATGATAAAAAATTATTTTGGTTAAATTTCATTTCATTCCAATAGAAATTATTTTATCCAAACTTCTATTCCAAGACTTAATTCTAATTAACTGTCAAACATTGGAATGGTAATACACATTTCATTTCATTCCCAAATTTATTCTATTTCCATGTTCATTCTATTCTTATATAAATGCATTACTGCGTACCAAACGTATTGTAATACTACGTACTAAACACAGTGTTAGGGTTTAACTAGATTCATTAGTAAAACAATTTTTTAGTTGCTAGATATTAGATAATAACTGTCACGCCCCAAATTTCATAAAAGCGTGATTAAACCAAATATTTTGTTTATTTAAAAAAAAAAAAAAACACATGCCGGTATGTTGTAAAAACATCTAGGAAAGTATCTCTTTAGTTAAAATAAATCAAATTTTTTTTTTGAAAATTTCGGCAGAGTTTCCTTTGAAAATTAGGTTTTCAACCAATTAGTAAGAGTATTTCTGTGAGAGTATAACATAATTTAAATTAATTAAACATCCACAACATGCCTCCATTCAAAAATATAATCCAACTAAATTCGGGGTAACAATTAGAGGCCCACGAATTCCTCCTAAACCCGGATACATCCAGCACCAATATATATCACAACTTAGTACCCAAAGTCATAACTTTATATTACAATACCCAAAATAATAATCCCTCTATGGGATGATCAAGTGTACACCAAAAATGCCTCAAGACAACCTTTTCAAATACAATGCTTGAGTTCTAACATTTCTATATAAGTTCTAAAGGTGAATACAAAAAAACTCTAAAAGAGATTTTTTCTAGTCCAAACTCCCACAAGCATTCCATCACTTATGTCACAGGATGCATGCTAGTCTCTAAAAATATTAGTAAGGGATGAGCAACTACATGCTCAGTGGGATAATCATTTTCCCAAGCATTTACAAAGTTTTAAAAACCAACATTCCACAAATCATACGAATAAGTAATGAAATCTTTCTATAATTAAATACATGTACAAGATAATAAGTAAAACATTTATAAACATCTCTCAACACCTCAACATTAGAAATATACAAGGTATAAATTAAAGCCCAACATTATAGCAAATACCATGCATGCCTCGCATACGGACAATGTAATCAATCACACCGGTTTTCGTATGAACTATCCCCGGGGAATTTTTTGGGTCTTACACCCTAGGGTCTCATCGTCCTTCTTACTTTTTAAGGGGAATGTGTAGGGCACAACTTGTGATGCCACATAGGTCATCACCGAAAATCACTACCATAATCAATCCCCCTTAGAATTAGTAGTCGTCTTAGCAATCCACTCCATAGGCCCAACCGTCTACTAACCATCTGTCTGTCAGTATCGAGTATATATTTTCTAAAACTCATTATTTTCTATATCCATAAATTCTTTTAAAAACTTATGTCACAACCTTGACATTTTATCAAACATATAGTATACTCAAATCTCAAAATTTGTATTTTTAAAGCAACATAACCAATTCCAAGAGAATAAGTCATATATATTATGTACAAAATCATAGCATACTTCAAAACTCTCAAATCATAAGTTCAATCAAATACTCATAACTAAAATCAAACTAGGTTTTCAAACCCACCACAAAATTAATTTTATTTCCAAGAAAATATGTAATATATATTATGTACAAGGTCATAGCATACTTCAAAACCCAAAAATCATAGGTTTAATCAAATGCCCATAACTAAAATCAAACTAAGTTTTCAAACCCATAACCCAAAAATCATTTTTATGCATGAAGGTTCATAATCCATGACATATTCGACACTAAATCAAGGTTTATAACAAATAATTTTGTCATCCAACACATAGTAAGCTTTAACTAAAGAAAATAAATGAGATGTACATTATAAATGCAAGAGAGAGGAAAACCCTATCTAAGAATCAAGAATTCCAAGCCAAATTCTTAGGATTTTCAAGCAAACTCCAAGCTTTATGGACCTTCTTCTTCCTCTTTCTCTTTCTCTTTGTCTTCTCTTAGGGTTCTAAGAGGTCTTGTGTGAGAGATATGAGAAAAAATGGAAGAAAAGGGGCTGAAATTTAGGTTTTAAACTCAGAAGTCCCGAACTCTACTGTTCATGAGCTGAAAAATATATTTTTTCTCCGAAATTATAGTTTTGTCACTAAACATTATAATTTTGATTCATATGACTATCTTAAGGTTTTTCGACGTTCCGAATTCATTTTTAATATTATTTTAACCTAAAAACATTTAGTTTTATGATTTATCTCAAAACTAAAGTTAATTTACATCCGACACATTATAATTACTATTTTACCCCTCCGAACCGCTATATAAGCTAAGCATCCATTCCAAATTTTTCGGACCTCTTGGATTCAATAGTAATATTATTTTGACTTAAAAATATTAATATATTTACTTAATTACCCTTATCAATCTTAAACACCTCCAAAAATTAAATTTGACACAAAAATCAATACGTTTGTACTTCAAGTTTACACGACTATTCTTTTAACAACGATTTAAAGTTTCTCTCATCATGTTAATTATTTTAAAAATACTAACAAGTTGATATCATTTATATTTATATAACACACGGGATCTGACAATAACTGTTGGGACCGGATAATATTTTTAAAAAAGCAATACTATCGAAACTTAAAAAATTGATCTAATATATGATAAATGATAAAATCTCAGAAGTTCAACAATAACTAACCATTACAACAATACTATCTAAAAATGTGATGGCTTGCGGTGAGAATCTTTTGTGTTTGATTATCTTGTTTCAAAAGGGAATTAGTACTCAGTGTCGACACAGGAAACTTCTGAAAGCTATGTTGGTGATCTTTTAGAGCAAAATTGGAGAGCTTTTTATGCTTTTCTTCTTGTGTTACGGTACTGTAAAAATCTTTCTTTTTGTTCCTCAATGTTGTTAGATACCATTTGATAACCCCCCCCCCCCCCCCCCCCCCCCCCCCTCCTTTTTGTTTTTTTGAAAGTATGTCTCTTAACAAGAGAACAAACTCAAGGGCGACCCGATACACTCTGGGGCCTTAGGTGAAAGTTGTAAATGGGCCCTTTTAAATTTTAATATTAGTATATAAACAGTATAATTGGAATTTTACGTAAAAATTATTCTTTTATCTTTTTTAGATGTAAAATTGATTGTAAGTAGGACTTCATCGGTTTTAATTTTAGATGTAAAAACTATTATTGGACTTTAGTTACAAATATAAATTTAACTTGTCAATGTCACCAAATTGATCACGTTTTACAAAATTCTCAAGATTTTGAATATGTCCTTTCTTATTTGTGAGATAAAAAAATAATTCTTTAAAGTGTCAAAGAATAAGAGAAATAGTGAGGAAGATACTATTAGGAAGGTGGGGTTTCATTTTTTTTTATTTTTTTTGGATTTGAAGAAACAATTATATGCAAGTATAAATGAGAAAAAAATAATACCCTTTGATATTCAATTGATATGGTCTAATAATGTAATTATAATTAAAACCCTTGAACCTAATTGAGACTATATCATTAGGTAGATGATGGTGTGACATGCAAGAGTACACAAATAATTACATTGTATCCGTTTGAGAAGAGGAGATTTGAGATTTTAGAGAAGATTAAAAAGACCAAAAAAAAAATACTATTTTTTGTAATTATTCTAAAAAAATGGGGTCCCTTCTCAAATGAGGCCCTAAGCCACCGCCTAAGTTGCCTTACACTTGGGCCGGCACTGTCTAGACTAAACGATCATTGGCGTTCAGCGTCCCTCCCCCCCTTCCTCCTCCCACGCGCACACAAACAGAGACAAGGTACATCTCACGCCTATGAACCGTTATAACTATCTAAGAAGACACTCGAAACTAAAAAGAAAAATTATTAACCAAATATGCTAAATGTGGTCTTTAGTTACAATATCATTCTTTTATCTATTTACAAAATGTCAAATACTACAATTAAGGTCACATAATTGACCTGGTGTCACATTGTGTTGAATATCCAGTACTATCAGACTCCACATTAACATACAAGTTTTTTGTTTGACTATTATTTCTTTTTCTTTTTTCCACCTATGCATGATGAGAAACAAACCTAGTAAAAAATGTACATTTGTCCAATTTATTCAGGTAAAAAGGTCTAGGTCATTGAAAGAAATGTTGCTTATCACAGACTGACCACCAGTTAGATTCCACTCAACAAGGTTACATTTTGGCACATCAAACAGCAAACAAAAACATTTCACTAGACATTTGAGACGACAATATAACTCGAAAAACCAAACCACCGCAAACATACTAGATTGTAATCCTATGCTACCAGTCCTTAATCAATCAAAATACAGAATTCAGAAACATGAAAATGCCAAGTTCTCCAAGAGATTTAGAGGCACAGAGAGAGTTTTACTGCTCAATTAGTGCCACCAAGGATAGCCTTGAGCTTCTTCACTTGAGCCTTATCAAGGAAAGTGACCTTCACCACCAATTCGGTAGGCAAATCGTTTGCAAACAACGCGAAATCAGTGATTTGGAGACCCGGATTGGGGCTACTGAAGCTCGCAAATGCAAGAGCAGGTATTTTCTCTGAATTCAATTGGAAGTGCAATAATCCCTGTGGAAAAACCATTATATCTCCTTTGTGAAGAGTTTTATAATAGACAACATTGGCGGAAGAAGATATGAACCCTGCAAGAATACTCCCTTGGGTAACAAGTAGGACCTCTGATGCTCCAGGGTGTGTGTGCAATGGAATGACACCACCCACAGCGAGGTCTAACCTCGCCATGGACAGGCCAAGGCCATTGACACCTGGAAATTGAGCGACAAAGGCCGGGGTCACGGCTGCTTTGATGAGATTGCTAGTGTTGCCGGCAACACCCAAGCCGGAGAAAACAAAAGCGTCCACGGTGATTGTGGAAGGCTTCTTGCAAGGGTAACCTGAAGGAGTATCTGACAATGATAGGTCTGCGACGCAGAAGTCTTGCACTGAAGCTTGAGAGGAGGAGAACAGGAGTGCAAAGGTGAAGAGGATTGTGAGAAACATCTTCATCAAGTGTGTGTGACTGTGTGTTAGGCCTTTAAGAATGTTTAACTTTGATGGGGTTTGATTCATTATATAGAAGGTGATAGCAAGGGCCGTCAAGTGGTCATGTTGTTTTCTATTTTTAAGCCATGTATGTTGTATTATGTCAAAACTTGTTTAACTAATATCTAATTCATTTATAAAATCGTGTGTAGTCAAATTCGTCTTGTGTTTAGTTAAATTTGTGTCGATAGTTATACTTAACATATTTGGCCGGTTCACTAATTTACTATTTGAATTCGCTAAGACTAAACTTAAGCTCACTAACTCGTGTTGGATTCAGGGGTTGTGTGGTGAATTCACTGTCAAATACAACTTTAAGTAAACATAACAATAAGATATAGTTAAATTTCAAAGTTAAAACAATACTTGCTCGGAGTAGGTATGCTTGAAAAACACAACTTTAATACAACATTAGGAATCGAAATCAAACTTGTAATTTAACAACAATCTATCCCACAAACAAGATATTTGATACCTGTCTCTAAGACCATTGTGGCTGTACAATTTTTAGTTTCCTTTGTTAGTCTGTTAAATGTTGTTAGAAACTATTATGCATATAGATGCAAAACAAATATCTTGTCAATCAATTTTAGGAGAGAATATGAACACATGTAACGCGGTTTTGAACATAAGAGTCTAAAGACAGAAAGAAAAATGCAAGAATGTGGTCCATGAGCACATGGGGAAGATAGAATTGAGGGCATAAGAAGACATTTGACAACTAAAAGGAGTCTCTGCAAGTCGTTCTGATCTTTGTCATTTCTTGAAAAGCTTTCCATGAAACAAATGAGTGGATATTAGAGGTTCCCTATCTTCTAGGGTGTACGGAATTCATTTAACAAAGTAAATACTTTCCTGTTGTGTTTTCTTAACTGTAAGATTCTTCGAGGATCAACCTTCTTGTTAATAGTAGGGATTTACCTATATTTTTCTTACTTTTTACAGGTCAAACAGAGGAGAACAATATCTGGTAAATAGCTAATATGCCAAATTTAAAGAGCATGCATGAAAATTATCGGTCAAACAGAGGAGAACAATATCTAGCAAATAGCTAATATGCCAATTTTAAAGAGCATGCATGAAAATTATCGTTCCACTTTTTCATTATAATAAATAGGCCGTTAGAGTCATTTTCAATATTTTGAAATCATAAATTTTTGAGTCGAATCACTTAATCTCTCATATTATGCATTTTTCTATTTCGCACCACTTTTAGTTTGTAATCTCGTGCATAACAACCTCCTAATTTCTAAGAGCACTCATATTAAATATGCATGTTTACATGTCGGGATATACTATTCTTGTCAATTCAAGATGTAAAAATACACAAGTAAAGGCATCTTCGAAACTATGCTCAGCTTATGGGGATTAGAATTGGCTTGTATGGGCACACTACAACACAAAAGAAATGACAAAGGAGATTTGAGTGATTCAGAAAGGAAAAACTGTTAAAGGTCATCTAGAAAATCCACAGGCATTCAAAACATTTCAAATTCTTGGATTTTTCGTCGAAGAAGAGGATAATATTGCGAGTGAGCAATGAGCATTAGTCGATAGCAATTCAGCTTTTTGGAGGCCAAAAAAAACACCACTGTGTTTTCTTGGGCAAAAAAATAAAGCAGCGAACTGCACACGAGACTTCTGACACTATAAAAAGATTGTTCACATAACTCGAATTCATGACACCCACGTTTAAGAGGAAAGAACCTTGGATAAGGATACAACAGTATTTTAATTTACTTTTTCCTACCTTTCAGACAGCTTGGATCATGGACAATTCACTGCAAATGTACCAGTGGTTCAGGATGGAGACTTACAAGTTATTCAAACATGTTTGATGTCATAGTGGATGTTTCTTATTGGGCAATGGAGAAAGAGGATGTGACAAACCTGGATGTGGCGGTATCTGATCGAGAGCTGCTGGCCTTCCGGTGTGCACAGTAATTTCATGAACTCCGGAGCTTGCAGCAACATATAACAGGAATTTCTTGGAACATGTTAGTTTTGAAAAATGGGACACCAAAGAGACATCAGGCTTACATAGAAAGATTTACCTTTGCAATGTTTAATGAAATCTCAAACCTGAAGGTGTGGAACAAAATTTTGGACTTTTTTAACCTAGCATGGAGCTTGTTTATCCTCTCTTGACCCCTATTTTGAGACTACATCTAGTGGGTTGCAAGGAAATCAGTTAGGAAACAGTGTGCCATCCAAGTGCATAGTGAAGTTTAAGTTCAATGTTAATTCTAATTACTCTTTGTTAGGTTCTCCAAGTAGGGTTTTGACTCAGCCATTTTGTTTTTTCTTCTTTCTTTTATCCAAAAGGAATGAGAAAAAACAAATACTGCATCTGTTGGGAGAGCAATCATGGCCTCAGATTTCAAACTACTGGGACCTAATACACGTACACACAAAATACACAATCAATTTTGTGTTTAAGAACGATATTCAATAAATCAAGCCCTAGGGTACAAATACAATCTCCAATACATAAGTGCGAGCGTCGATAGGGTCGGGCTCTTTCTTGTTGTCTAACATTCCACACCATTGTATTTAAAGCCAAAGGGTTCTCTGGCCCTTCATTGTACAAAATGTGGAGAATATTGCATATATCATACCATCAACATCGTTCCACTTAGAGTCGTGACAATGGTAGTTTGCTGCCATTTCCCTTGCTTAGAAAAGGGTAGTCAGTGTACCCTACAACAGGGTCTTGTGTATAGAAAGTAGCCCTAACATACCGATTTAGAGGTGCATCGAGCTCGAGTCTCGTAACCAAGTCAGGATTTGAGATAAAATGGCGACCATACGACACCAAATCAGCATCACCTTGAGCCACAGCTACCATTCCTAGTTCCCTGGTAAATCCACCACTGCAAATGAAAGTTCCCCAATAAGCTCTTCGCCAAGTTCTCATTAGTCGGGCCTCCTCATCTTCACTGCCATGCCTACCTGCCTCTGTCTGGCCATAAGCTGTGTACCGTGGCTGGGTCACATGGAGATAAGCAAGTTTTGAGCCAACATCTTGCTGGAGCTTGTTAAGTCTTTCGACCACTGCCAGGCCTAGGTTGAGAGGATCAGAATCCATGGCATCGAGGTGATCGATTGCTGGTGACATTCTAACACCAACCCGATCTGCACCAATGGCTGCAACCACTGCTTGAACCACTTGAATTAGGAATTTGCATCGGTTTGCAATCGAGCCACCATATTCATCTGTACGGTCATTTATTCCATCCTTTAAGAACTGGTCAATGAGGTAGCCATGGGCTCCATGGATTTCAATACCATCAAAACCTGAACACACAGAACAGAACAAGTCTCCTTCTAAATACTTCAAACAGACACCAAATGGCAACTTAATTTTTTGAAATCAAATCTTAGATTCTCATATGGCATCATGACAACAAATGTTAATATAAAACCCTTCTAATTTTGATATAGCCCCAGAAATGAACAGAATCAGAGTTACTCAATGAGCCGCATGTTATTAAACTGCAAGGAATGATATGAATGAAACTATAGATAATTGACAAAGATATAATAAATTTTGCATATCTGGTTAACCTTCTATGAATGTTAACCTCTAAATACGATGCATATTTGACCTCATTAGATTGTTACTTATTCCGAACTTCTTGAATATGATATCTGATCTATATAGTAGATTTTTCAAAGGATGAATTTACCTGCTTCAATGGCATTGAGTGCTGACTGGCGATAGTGTTCCACCACCTCTGCTATCTCGTAGGTTGCCAGTGCACGAGGCTCTGGGTAGGTCCCATGCGTTGCATCTGGCATTAGTATTCTCCATCTCTTTGAGATGGGCTTGCTCGTGGATGATATTGGTGCAGCCCCACCAGGTTGATACACTGAAATTGATCAGAGCCTCTATCAATAAAAGTACTTTTTAACTGAAAAGCCAATATATACTGGAATCTTACCTGTACTAAGATACTTAATTTTGCTTGTAAAGCAATATTTACATGACTTCTAGCTATGGATTATGGGGAACTCTTAAATCAGCCTGCTAAATGGCCAATAAATTCACTCCCCTATCTCAATTGCAAGGGTCTTTGACAGAAAATCTCGACTAGTTTCGTAAAGTGAACTATTATTAAGGAATTGTAGTCACCCATAAACCATCATGCAAAAGGATGTTGCTAGTTCTTCTAAATGCAAGCTTTTATATACATTGGAAAAAACAACCTTTCAAACTGATTGAATCTAACCTAGTCAGTCACGCTTGATACTCCCAACCAAGAGGTTCAGGAAATGATTGATGACAGTGATGTGATCTAATAATTTTATTGTGACTATAATTCTTAAACTAATTAATTGGGACTGCATCAATTGATATATTATTATGTCACTAAATTAGGTTAGTTTTTTAGGTCCCAATAACGTTACTCTAAATCATATGGCCTAATCATTATTGTTATGGAAATAATAATGGATGCCAAAATTGAATGGGATTTACTCCTTAACATAAGATTAATTCAAAAAATTAGATCCAAATAATATTGTTATGAAATAATTGGTAGTATATATGTATGTTATCCAACCCAATTAATAATATTAAGAAATAATTCATGGTTTATATGTCATCCAAACGATTATGGAGTGTCTGGTAGTGTGGATGGAGAAATAAAATGATGGAAAGGGAGAGTGATACACTTTCTATCTTTCAAATGAGGAATTTTTTCATCCCTCCTTTGTGTTTGTCAGGAGAGATAGAAAGTAGTAAGGATTGATTTTTTTGTATTTATAAGATGAAAAAATAAAAGGATGAAATAAATATAGATACGTATTTTACCATTACATCTATATATGAAATTAATATATATATAATATGTAATTGATAAATATCATATGTGCACATATCAAATGATATTTAGGCAATAACATACATTTTCAATACATATAATTAATTTTTTATCCACTTTTCCTTCCAAGTAACGAGGGATTGATTTTAATGTGTTGGAAAGAAAGTTAATCATTCACATTTCTATCCTTCTTATTTTTCTTCTTTTATTTTATTTATTTCTCCAACTTTTTATCCATCTAATTTTTCATCTTTTTATTTCTGTAGGGTACCAAACAAAGCATTAATGTAGACCATTTGAAGTTGGTTGAGAATGAAAGCATACATACCTTGATGAGATGCTCGGCCGACATGCCACAGTTGACAGAATATAACACCACCCTTGCCATGGACTGCATCCACCACTTTCTTCCATGCCTCCACTTGTTCTTTTGAGTATATTCCCGGCACGTGCGGAAACCTGGTCGGTCCCACTGTAAAATATCAGCAAATGCATGGGGTCCCAACCCAATAAGCAGCTTCACCCGACCCGTCTGTCAACTGCTCATGACGGGCCACATCTTGTCGAATGGGTCTACTAGTAGCCATTGGGCCGGCCCTAATGGCTTAATTTGATGAATATTAACTTACCTTTTTTGAGTCTTTATCCTTTTCTTTATTTTTTTTTCCAATTTTCTTGGACCAATAAATTGTGTTGCAGGCTTCCTCGACAGGCCACCTTTGCAGACAAAAAACTACAGGCCACGTTTGACTCGTTGGGCTATGGAGCGGCCCACAAACTTTCAAGGAGAGCCGATCCAACCCATAACCCGTTGGAGTGACATGAGGATGGGTCTCCTGTTCATGGGTCACATATCATTACTTCCGCCTATCCTATTCTTTCCTGTATATCCTAGGCACGTGCGAAAATCCATTTTTTTTTTTTTTGTTTGGTAAGTGCATGTGCGGAAACCTGGTCCCACTTAGAAATATCAGCACATGCTGGGGCCGAGAGCTACCAAGCACTAAACTAAACACGTGGCTGAATGCGACTTGTTGGTAGATCACTTCCAATGTTGAAAAGAAAAAGAAAAAAAAAATGAAAGGCTGAAACTATGAAATTACCCGGCGGCTGTGGGTGAGATCATCGTCCCCTCGGTGATGAGAAATCCACCGTCAGTTGCTCTCTGCGTGTAGTATTCAACGAGGGCTGGCTGTGGAATTCCATTCAAAGCTCTGCACCGTGTCATAGGCGCTAGCACCACCCTGCCACCAGTACCAGTACACAATTTACGCAAATACGTTAATTTGTTAGATCTCACATGGGCAAAATTCGTCACAAATTTTAACCACCTCCGAGGAGGAGGAGGAGGAAGAGGACTCGTATCTCCGATCCGATGTCTTCGCAGAGATTCATTAAAACTGGAGAGAATTTTATGACAAAATTACCCCCTTTTGTCTCCGAAAAAACAGGACCCACCCAATAATAAGAGAAAGAAATCAGGAGTCGACAAACCTGTGAGAGAGATTGAACTTGCCCATTTTGTATGGAGAAAAGAGAGGATGAGGTTTTCTTTGATCCGATGACGTTCCGGCCATTGTTGGAGTATTTTTTTATTTTGGTGCTGGTCTGAGGACGAATTGAGGAGATAAAGAAAAGTGGGAGAGCATATTAATTATACAGTGCTGAGGAGTTTTTCAGTAAAGAGTCTCGAGTCTTGAGTGATAGTGGTCGGTGGGGCCCCACATAGCGTCGGACGGTGTGTGATTTACGTGATGATTTTGCTTTTGGGAATGAAGGTGGGCGCATTTGTTCATTCGGATTTGAGAGAAAATAAAGTCACGAGGTTTTGGTTTTTATTGTGAAAAATAATAATTAAATTGTTAGAATCAAGGTAACTAGACTTACTTGGAAAATTAAGATAATACGATTATTTCTGTATTTTTGTGTCTGACAAGATTCTTTGTATTAAATACATAAAGTATAACATATAAAAATCGGACATATAATATATTAGATTTGAGAGCTTTCTTGGTATGCTGTACATTGACACAGGAGTCGGATCCTAATAATGGAGTGTTAATGACAATCCGTCCAATCCATACATAAGTTAGTGGGCTAGATATACCCTTTGTTTACAAGGATTATTAAAGGATTGAATAATATTGATTAACCTATTTAAGCATATTAAGATGTATTGGAGCGGAGATTTACTGGATTTTATCTTATGTGAGTATCTCACTTAAACCATCGTTCCACCATTATTGCTCAACACCAATTCTTTATCATCTATATAATAAAGTAACTTCTAATTTAAATTTTAAAAAATAAATAAAATAATTTTTATTTTTCGCGGTTCAAATCACTTTAAATTTTACTTTAAAGTTAATCTAATGATTAATATTAACACCCTAAATTTAATAAAAAAAATATGTTCATAAATGCATGTTTGACATAATTTTTTAAAAGTACTTATAAAAATTATTTTTTATAAACACTTTAAAAAAATAGTGTTTACAACGGTCACACCACTACTTCTACCACCATCACCCCCGTCACCTCTACCACGACCGCCACCGCCACCTTCACCACCACCGTCGTCGCCTTTGCCCCACCACCATCATCATCGCCCCCACCACCACCGCCGTCGTCGCTGCCACTGCTACTGTCACTGCCACCGCCCCTCCCACCATGGTCGTCGTCGTCGTCGTCGCCTTTGCCACTGCCACCACCACCTTTATCTCTATCACCGCCACCATCGCCCCACTACCTTTATCGTCACCACCGCCTCCACTACCTCTACCACCACAATGGCCACAGCCACCACCATTATTGCCCCCACCACCACCACTACTGTCACCACCACCATCATCACCGTCATCATAACCACCATCACCACTATCGTCACCATCACCGTTTCCTACCACCACCATTGTCTCTCACCCCCCACTATAAATCGATACTTAAAATTATTTTTTTCTCCTCTATATTTGTGATTTGATTTTGGATATGAATATAAATATATTTATTGTTTATCATTTTTTATTATTATGTGACTTCAGGTACAAATAATAACTAGTTTGTTAATATCACAACCTCATTATTAGCAGTAGTTGAATGGTTAAGTTTAATTTTTAGTAACTCAGATATAAGAGGTTTAATCTTTTCTTACAGGTGAGTCACCTTTGTTCTTTAGAAATATAATTTAACTGAGATCAATCATGGTGGTAATCATGAGCTTGAGAGAGTAATCGATACAAATTTAAACACCTTGTAATAAAAAAATGATAATTCTTTATAAACCAAATTTGTACACCAAAACTTATATTAAATCAACTGCAGTCTTTGGATCAGTGATGAAATTCATTGATCTAATGGCTGCAACTGATTTAGTACAAGTTTTGGTGCACATGACATTGCTAAAAAAAAATTGATTGAATTTGCTCACCTTCATTAGATGTAAGAAAATATATAAATCAAATGTGGCTACCACCACCATCTCTTCCTATCTCTGCCACCACGACAACCATAATCCTGCCAATTCTTCCCATTGCAACTGCCACTATCTCCACCACTTGATTATCATCAGCCGATATGAAAGCCACCTTGTGGCCCTTTTTCAAGAAAAATGAAAGCAAAAATTGGTGAAGGATTACATTTTTGCCAATAAGATCAAACATTTTTTTAGTCGTTAAGCACGCGTATGATACACTTGTGTGCTACAGTCCAAGTTAAATATGATCATTTTATTATTATTATTATCTAATTGTTCTTTAGGATGCCATAATCAACGTGATTTCAGTTACTATATAAACGCGTTCTGTCATACGAATATTTTGAATTTTAAATTAATATTTTTCATCTTTTAAATTTTTAGATCTCAAAAATATTTTCTCTTCCAAGCACTCAAATTTTTAGTTTTAAAATATTTGAAGACTCATATTTCATTTCAGATCAAGATATTCGAAAGTTTTAGAGAATTATATATATATCATCGGTGATTGTTATTATTTTAATTTTTGATAAAATTCAGTAATACTCCCTCTAGTTTATCATATCTTCAAGAATACTCCTTCTACCTTCTGAATCTTCACTGACACCCCTATAAGATTAAAAGCTTTAATTAGAATACAATTTTACTAAATTGCGCATGATATATTTAAAAAAAAAATTATCTACATTCCCTCTAGATAGATATATTTTCAACGAGACTCCTCTATTTTATAATTTTTTTTACTTATTAAAATTCGAACCGATTAAAATTTGGTTCGAGTCGAATAAAATTCATTGTTAATCTACATAAATCAAATTTTAATCAAATCTCATTTAATTTTAATCGGTCTGAATTTTGATACTTAAAAAAGTATAAATTTTAATCAACTGAAATTTTAATACGTAAAAAATGAATTTTAATCAACTTGAATCGAATTTTAATTGACAAGAATTTTAATAAGTAAAAAAATATAAATTTTAATTGACTCGAATTGAATTTTATAGGGTCAAATTTTAATATGTAAAAAGAATTTAATTAGCTCGAATTTTAATATGTAAAAAAATAAATTTTTAATCGAATTATTTGGGGTTTATGTAGGATTAATTTTGGTATTTTAGATAAATTTTTTTATTAGAAATGGTAGTTTAATGGTATGGGTGTTTGTGATATTTAAATATAAACTAAAAAAAAGGTGTCAACGATGCTTTGGATGATAGAGAATATATCCTTGAAGATATGATAAAATAAAGGGGTGTCTGAAATTGTTTCCTTAATTTTTTTTGCTTTGAAGACTATATTCTAATCAATACATAACATTTTTTTTTCATGAAAATTATCAAATATTTTGACTCTCATTGATTTAATATATTTTTAACTAGAATTTATCCATATTATTTACTTTGTTTTGAATGTATTTATTTTAATAAATTATAGATTTTCAAAACTATTTTTGGCTAGTTCATCCGTATTAATAACACTTTAATTTCTATTATATGGAACATGAATTTATCTATACTTTATTTTTCATGATATTTTTGGTGAATTTTAATAAAACTTAGATTTTCAAAACTATTTTAGGTGAATTTATCTATACTAATAAAACTTTAATTTTTATTATATTTTAGGTGAATTTTTCAGTATTATAAATTTTAATTTTCGTGATTTTTTTTGTTTTTAATTTATCTATTTTAATAAATTTTTTATTTTCAAAATAATTTTAGGTCAATTTATTGGTATTAATAAACTTATTTTTTATAATATTTTAGATAAATTTATTTGCTTTAATGATTTTAATATTTTAAGTGAATAATCTGTTTTAATAAAAACTTTGATTTTTATAATATATGACATAAATTATTTATATTAATAAAAATTTCATTTGTATGATTAAAAGAGAAAAGACCATTGTGTTAATCGGATTTTGTTTTAGATAGATAAACACAACACAAAAAATTATCTGAAAATAACAAAAATATACATTGAATAATGTATTTCTCAAATATTATGATTCTCAAAAACTTACTTGAAAACCAAACATTTCGAATGATCTCTAAAAAAAAATTGATTCAGTAAATGTGCGATCAAGAACCCTATATTACACCCATTGTAGTGAACAAGGCTCAAAGTTTGTCTTAAGGGAAATATGACTTACAATTGTTTTTTAAAGCAAAATCATGATTGATAGAGAGTAGAATGAGTGATAAAAAAAAAAGATAGGAAATATAATATGCATTTTGTTCCTGATTTGTAGTGATCTTAATTTCAAAATTAACGAGAAGTTAGGAACGTGAATCTGAAGAGGCAATAAGGTTACGTTACTCGTACCTAGTAACTGGTTTCACAAGGGTGTTTTTGTCCACCATTTTTTTGTGTGGACTACCAATCATAAAGACAGACTATCCACACGCAGAACTAAGGGATTTATGAAAGATAAATTTTTCATGGTCTAAATTTAAGGAGTTGCTAAGATTTGAATTTAATACATATAAGTTTACAGCTCGTTTCTATTACCACTTAAACTACTCTTTAGATTTATCTCTCGTTTGTTCACAAAGACTTGATCTCTATCTCACTCTTTTTCTATAGGCATCCATATTCTTGAATTACTTGATTAACTAATGCTAGTGAAATTAAGTTTTTTAATTTTACTTTGTGTCATTAGATGATGAAATTAAATTAAATGGATAATATAATGTTTTGTTTGGTATGATGAACAAAATGAAAGAATAAAAAGTTGGAAAGATAAAAAGTTAGAGGAATAGATAAAACATCATATTTGGTAAGGAAGGAAAATAGAAATGATGGAAAAGTGAATAGATTAATTTTTCTTTCAACTCACCAATATCAATTCCTTTAAAATTGAGAAGAAAAATGAATAAAAAGTTAATTATGTATGTTAAAATGTATATTGTTTGTCTATATATCTTTTGATATATATATATATATATCATATTTATAAATTGCTTATTATGTATACATTAATTTTATATATAGATATAATGGTAAAATATGTATTTATATTTTTTATAATAAAAATAAAAAAAACTTTTTCATTTTATCAAACACAAAAAAAAAAAAAAAAATTCTTCATATTTTTCATCCCTCTTACCAAACACAAAGGAGTGGAGGAAGAATTCCTCTCTTAAATGATGAAAAGTGTATCACTCATATTCTTTATCCGTTTATTTTTTCATCCACACTACAAAATGGACGATAAGAGAATGTTTGGTTATCAAATTGGAAAAGGGGAATTATATGGGCCTAATCCTTTCCCATTATGTAGAAGCAATTGAAATACAAAATA